AAAGTCTTTTGAAAGAAAGACTTCGAAGGAAAGTGCATGCGTTCTTCTTTAGAAAAGAATTTCCGACAGTAGACAAAGTTATTACCACGGTTCGGGATGATAAGGATTACCCTGAAATGAGTCGAAGCACACTAAGAAAACTTTTAAAAGAAATAGGTTTTCTATGGAAAACGCATTCCAGAAAGTCTATTTTAATAGAAAGAAGCGATATTGTAGTATGGAGAAGAAATTACCTAAGGACTATAAAAGAAATGAGAAACCAAAGAAGAAATATATTTTATTTAGATGAAACATGGATCAACGAGGGACATAAACCAAATAAATTTTGGCAAGATGAAACTGTTACAAGTCGAAGACAGGCTTTTTTAAATAATTTATCTACTGGTTTAAATCCACCATCAGGAAATGGGCGCAGACTAATAATAGTACACATCGGTAGTTCAAACGGTTTTGTTAAAGGTGGTTTATTAACTTTTGAATCTACTCGTACCGGTGACTACCATGAGGACATGAATGCTGATGTCTTTAAAGAGTGGTTCGAACAAATTATAGATCTTCTTCCTCAGAATTGTATAATAGTAATGGATAATGCAAGTTATCACTCGAGACTTATAGAAAAAATGCCCACAACCACCCAGACAGCACAAAAATATTGCATGAATATTCAATGCATATCTCAACTGCATACTACTATATTCCATGGATATGCCATATCCACCATGGCATATGACAGGAAGATTGCAGGAATATTCAAGGTCACCATGAAACATATGCCCACGACATGTTTTTATCTGCCAAAATATATGTATGGCATATTCTCTGGATTTACTGAGGATATCTATGTATGCCTATATTCATGGTATTTTGAATATTCATGGCATATTCAATTTTTGTAATGCCGTACCAGTTTAGAAAATAAAACCCATACTTAAATACAAAATAAATTTTATTTTAAAAATAAAGCAAATTTTAAAAAATAATACATACATATAAAAAACTAAAAATATAAATTTATTTGCAGAGGTTCTTCACGTACTTTTCTCCTAAAAAAAATGACATAGAAGATATGTATATGTATTACGAGATATTTATAAATTGTTTAGATTTTGATGCTTTCAAAAATAACTGAGATGAAAATATCAGTAAAATAGAAATATTTCAAAATCTTGAGACAAACATTACAGTAATACTTACTTCTATAGCATCTTTGGGTCTCTTTATTTATACTAAAGGCCTCTACATTTTCCGTTGCCATTTCTGTACTGTGGATTTTCCTACACATCTCTAAAAAAAAACAAAAATAGGTTTACATAGAGCCTTATCTGCAATTTTATTACGAATTAACCATATTTGGATTTCCTCTTAACACTTTTATATTAATCAGTTACTTTATTACTAAGAATAGGTAATTAATTAGCCTTAGATGTCTTTGAATTAATATTATCCTATACAAAGAGAGCTGTTCAAATAAACTCAAATTCTTGAATTTTACACGAATTTTTTCCTGATAAAAAGAATAATGGTATTTCCTCGGAAGATTCAGTAAGAAGCTTACATTTTAAATTCATCTGAATCTAATGCTATCATTATTTGATAACAAAAAAGTCTCGTCTACCAATTGATTTACACTTCTTATAAAATATTTATGATTTTAAGCACCACACTGATACTACAGAAGGACCATATATTATAATTAATCAGACTTACCCCTTAGGTGAAAAAAAAAACTAAAACTCCATCAAGTGGCCCCTCCACTCATATCTATGCAAGTGGCACGTCTCTAGCAAATTTGACAATGTTTGGTTATGTGTCATATTCTTCCTCTTTTTTTTTTCATTAGTGGCCTTCACCGTTTAGAGTATTTGACCAGGGTATCAATAATAAAAAATATTCCTCAATAAGGCACTATTAGGTAATTTTTACTACCAACTACAAATACGTACTAGGCGCATACTTTTGACTGTTAGAATCATTATTTTGTCCTTTTCTTTTCTACATTATAGGAAAAACTATACATACTTATTTTATCTATGAAGAGAAAGATAATTTGATCTCGGAGGTTTGATTTTTTTTATTAATTGAAAATAAGTTTGCATGATTTAAAGTTACATTCGGGAGTTCTAAGTCCACGTATTTGTTTAATTTAAGTCTTTATAAACTAAACAAGGATGATCCTTTTAACTATGGCTTCATTTGTACTTATAAATAATAAAACAAAATAGTTAAATATAATATAATATTCTACAGAGATATCCATACAATATGAAAAATGAATATGCAGAGCATATCAAAAATACATATGCCTGGAATATCATTCTAGAATGTAGAATATGAAATATATTCTGTGAATATTCCATAAATATTGCAATATATTTTGGCAAATAGGCAGATTGGTGGCATATGCCAGGGATATAGTGTGCTGTCTGGGCAAGTGGTTAAAAAAAGATTTACAGAATTGGCTAAATTCAAAGAATATTAAGTTCCATCCCGGTTCTGTGAGAAAAGAACTGTATCATTTGTGTTCCCTTCATAAAGAGAAATTCAAAAAATATGAAATTGATGAAATTGCAAAAAATTGTTGGATGACGGTGGTTAGATCACCACCATATCATTGCGAAGTAAACCCGATTGAACTGATATGGGCACAGATAAAGGGAGAAGTTTCAAGAACAAATAATTCTTTTAAAATGAGTGATGTTAAACAGTTGTTTTTGGAGGCTGTAAATAATGTGAAGCCGGACAACTGGGAAAAGGCAGTAAATCATACGATTAAAGAAGAAGAGAAAATGTGGAAGTTGGACAATATTACTGATGAAATGATCGAGCCATTCATTGTAAATATTGGTTGCGACAGTTCATCTTCTGATTTCGATTCTGATTTGGATTTGTAGGTAAGAAGTAGGTTTTATATTAAAATTATTATTTATGAACGTAACGTTGTTTAAAAGTCAAAGTTTAAACCCTTATACCTACATAACCCGTTTGACACAATGTTCTTAACATACCTTGTGGAAAAATAAGACATTTTAGAAAAAATTGCACTTTTTTACCTTCAGCTGTTTAGAAGTTATAAGCAGGTTAATTAGGTGAAAATATAAGTGTATACTCGAGGAATAACTTCAAAAAATATTTTAACTGTCTACTAAAAGAAGTGATACGCCTATGGATTACGAACGCTTTATTATTTTAATACTCTCTCATACATAAAAATAGACTATAGTAGTGATTTTGTTAATGGATCTAGGTTCATTTGTACCGCTACTCGTTACGAAATAAACCAAGCTTAAAATGTCATTTTTCCATTAACAATGTCATTTTAAGCTTCGCCTAATTCTTATAACTACCAAAGAGTACAAAATATAACTATAAAAGAAAAGTCACTCGCGGCATTTACAAAGGAAATCGCACTTCAAATGCGTTTTTTCAGAGTACAGAGCTATACCGGGGTTAAGCGGTAAGACGCGCGCGACGCACAGTACTTAAAATACACAGCAGAATCTAACGTAGCGCAGCAAAGGAGCCTTACGCGTTGAACTACACCGGTATCCAGCCGATCGCGAAAGGACTGTGGAGGACTGGCGGCTGATCGCCTTAGAAGGCAGTAATTGGACGAGTGACTCCTCTTTTATATTTTGTACTCTTCGTAACTACAAGCGGTGCAAATGGCCCCTAGTTTCTGAAGCTTTGTCAATGCGCGCTTGCCTCGCTCGATCCTTTCTCTAGTGGTTTAACACAACGGTGGAATCGGTCTTAATCAAGGCATCATTCCACTTACTTTTTTCACTATCTCTAACCTCAATTTCTCTTTTTATTTAGTATGGTGATCTGTTTGAGAACAATCATCAGTGGCCTCTAACCTAAATACGCATACGTTAAACGCGGTCTCTACTTGAAGGCACATTTACTAAACGCGGCCTTTTACATAAAATACAGCTAGCAAAAAAAATTGTACAATACATTCTAATAAAGATTATAATTATGTCAAAATGACATTCAAATCCTAACCTTAGATATTTAGGACCAATCAGCATTTACGATTTATAATTATGACAGCTTACAGCAAGGAAGATATTAATTTTTAAACTCTAATTTGTAGATATTGTATGGCATAATATTATTAGAAGTTACTTGAAATTGAAAATGGAATAAAATAGGAATTGCTTCCAGTTTTAAATTCGTCTTTTCCGGCAGAATTCATAATGCAATCATAATTTAAAAAATGTTTCCAATATATTTTAGTAACTTCAATCGTTCCTAATTCTAGTTTTTGAATCCAGATTTCCGTTCCAACCAGTGATTAACCCAAACTCACCTACTATACATTGTTATCTGAATAGTTAGTAAAGCAGCCTTCCCATTTTCTTATTTTAAAAACTCACTTTCGTTACAACTCATTATAAATACAACATTTTCTTCTTCCTCTCGTAATTCCATCAAAAAAATTAGTTTCTTTGTGTATACATCTAAGTTTGCGTCAGAATAAAAATACCAACAATTAGGAAACTGGTTTTGTTCCAAATTTCATGTTATTAATTTTTTTATTACTAGTTTAATTAAAAAAAAAAATCAATTAAAAGTTCTGCAAGGTCTAACACCTAAAATTCAACCATCAGATATTATTTTTTTGCGTCGTATACGAGGTGCGTCAAAAAATATAAATTTTGCTTAAATATTTGTTATTGTTATTAATTATAACGATCTTCTACTCCTCAAGGTAAATTGAGGGAATTTAAGAGAAATATTCTAGAATTGCGACTTATTTAGATGTATTTTAGTTCTTCAAAAGTTTTAATCAGGTACAGCATTTTGAAACTTGTTTTTTTGTTTGTTGATGTTTCTACGTGATATTTCACACGCTTCGAAGAGACAACATATTTAGCTTGTATGAGATTATTTGTAGTTATATTCCCCGATGTTTCGAATAAAAATATTGTTAATTAAAACCAATTTATTTCTAAAAAATCTATTATCTTTAAAGTTAATTTTTTTTTTATTTTTAGAAAGGTATAAGACGTGCCCATTCGTTAGGTCAATGGTTTCGTAAACGATATGATGCATTCCTCAGTGAAATATACACTTCAAAAGAAATATACGTTTGGTCCACAGATTTGGATAGGACTCTAATGACAGCACAGGCAGTTCTGAATGGTCTTTATCCGCCTAAAAACTTTCAGGTCTGGAACAAAAGAATTCCTTGGCAACCTATTCCTGTGCACACATCACAAAGGCACAAGGATGATATTGTTTTGGACAAGAGGTATAGTTGTAACCAATTATATAAGGTTAGAAGGTGGTTATTTATAACTATGACCTTTAAATTTCAATCCAAAACTCTATTTAACATTCCATCAATTCAATTTTGTGTTACTCGCTATTTTATAACCAATCAGAGAAAAAATAGACTTGGCAACGATGTAATATACCAAAACGCAGCAATAAAAATAAGAAAAAGAAAATAATTGACATATTTTTAATTAATACAGACCACGGACGGTTCCTCTATTGATTCAATTGTGCAGTAAATACCCAGTTTTATTTCCTAAAATGACATAAATAACACAAAAATACAAAAATTTTAATATTTTTATTATGTTTAAACATGTTAATATTTATTTTTTTGGTACGCCACTGCGCTCTGCCTGGTCGCATCTCTGATATGCTGATTGGGTACGAGAGGTTTCCGTAAATGCCTGTAGGTAAAAAGAGAAGTTAACCATATAAAAGTATTTTTGATTATAATTAATTAAAATTATAACGTGACCATTAGTTGTAATTATCTTCAAAAAATGTTTAAGGAATTGTCCAAAATTTCGAAAATTATTGAAAGAGGCGAAGAAAACATTTTATCCTAAGTTAGAACAACAGTATAGAGAAATTGTTCAAATTATTAGAGAATATTCAGGTTGGCCAACTGTAACTCTAGATCAAGTCGAACAATTTAGAAACCAATTATACGTTTTTGAAAATTATAATGAATCATTTATCCCTAATTGGAGTAAGAAGATATATCCACATCCACATTTACATTATATAGCAAGTAAGAAACATATGACGTACACATTTTCCTATTTTCTTTTATTGAATATTCTAATTTATAGAACATTTTTATTTAAAATGTTTTTTCAGCTTTCAAAATGACCGCCATATTGGATATAATACTATTACGGTGCGCTGATATTTGTATATTTTAGATATACCATTGCAAGTTCCAACGTCAACAACTGCATTGGCAAGATTAAAAATAGGACCATTTTTCCACAAACTTTTTTGTCATTTTGAAAATTTTACATGTATGTCTCCTTTATCGAAAGTAGGACCTAAATTTTTGATGTTATCCTGTCACGATTCTTGTTTAATTTCTGCCATGGACGCCATGAAAATCTTTGATTTTAGAAATATTGGATTTTCGGGTGCGTATTTGCATTTTTATTTAGTTTTTCTCTCATTAATTATTGATTTTTATTGATTTTTATTAATTTTTATTGACTTTTATCGATTTATATTGTTTTTTATTAATTTTTATTGATTTCTATTGATTTTTATTGATTCTTATGGATTTTTCTCAATTTTTATTAAATTTTATAAATTTTTATTGATTTTTTATTGGTTTTTATTGATTATTGCTAATCTTTATTGATTTTTATTGATTTATATTAATTTTTTATTGATTTCTATTGTTATTGCTTTCTATTGATTTTTATTAATTTTTATTGATTTCTATTGATTTTTTTATTGGTTTTTATTGATTATTGCTGATTTTTATTGATTTTGACTGATTTTTTATTGATTTCTATTAATTTTTATTGATTTTTATTGATTTTTATTAATTTTTATTGACTTTTATCGATTTATATTGTTTTTTATTAATTTTTATTGATTTCTATTGATTTTTATTGATTCTTATGGATTTTTATCAATTTTTATTAAATTTTAAAATTTTTATTGATTTTTATTGATTATTGCTAATCTTTATTGATTTTTATTGATTTATATTAATTTTTTATTGATTTCTATTGTTATTGCTTTCTATTGATTTTTATTAATTTTTATTTATTTCTATTGATTTTTTTATTGGTTTTTATTGATTATTGCTGATTTTTATTGATTTTGACTGATTTTTTTTATTGATTTCTATTAATTTTTATTGATTTCTATTAATTTTTATTGATTTTTTATTGATTTCTATTGATTTCTATTGATTTCTATTGATTTCTATTGATTTCTATTGATTTCTATTGATTTCTATTGATTTCTATTGATTTCTATTGATTTCTATTGATTTCTATTGATTTCTATTGATTTCTATTGATTTCTATTGATTTCTATTGATTTCTATTGATTTCTATTGATTTCTATTGATTTCTATTGATTTCTATTGATTTCTATTGATTTCTATTGATTTCTATTGATTTCTATTGATTTCTATTGATTTCTATTGATTTCTATTGATTTCTATTGATTTCTATTGATTTCTATTGATTTTTATTGATTTTTAATAATTTTGACTGATTTTTTATTGATTTTTATTGATTTTTTTTTATTTTTATTGATTTCTATTGATTCTTAGGGTCGTTGTGTTAAAAGGAGATTAAAATGACATTGTTGATGTAAAAATATTATTTTAAATTTCGTTTAACACAACAGTGGAATCGGTCCTTATTGATTTTTATTGATTTTAACTGATTTTTATTGATTTTTATTGATTTTAACTGATTTTTTATTGATTTTTTATTGATTTCTATTGATTTTTATGGATTATTTGATTTTTTTGGATTATTTGATTTTTATTGATTTTTACTGGTTTTTTACTGACTTTTTATTGATTTCTATTGATTTTTATTGATTTCTATTGATTCTTATTGATTTCTATTGATTATTATTGATTTCTATTGATTCTTATTGATTTCTATTGATTCTTATTGATTTTTATTGATTTTTTATTGATTTTTTTTTATTTTTATTGATTTCTATTGATTTTTTATTGATTTCTATTGATTCTTATTGATTTTGACTGATTTTTTATTGATTTATATTGTTTTTTTATTAATTTTGTTTTAGACACTCTGATATGGGAATTGAAAAAATCAAAACAGGGACATTTTTTCACGAACATACTTTATAAACATCAAGATTATAATAAAAAATTAGAAGAACTCAAGCTAAACGAATGCGATTTCAATTGCGACTATAAAAGTTTCAAAAATATTATGAATGACGTGATTATACATATCGACGATTGGGAAAAAGAATGTTATCAAGACATCACGTTCAAAAACTTCACTACAACATAACAAATTTGATTATTATTAAAATAATTAACATTATAATGAAAATCTGCTTTGTTTCCCGTCAAATTTGCTCTTAGAGCCTAGAAATGTCCGGCGGCGGGGGGAGGGAGAGGGGCACTGTTTGTTCTACTGCCTATTGTAGTAGCACAAGCAATGTCTCATCTGGTCCCAGTGAGTTGTTTCCTTTCTCTGTTGTAACTAACTGACAGTTCCAGTATTGACAATGTCATGTCAATTGTCATTAGATATAAGATATATTAGTGTAACATCTCCTCCTGGCTCAGATATTAAATAAATATCCGATAAAATACCATGAATCTCTCTTAGATTTTCTAACAGTAGTGATGGCTTCAGTACATCCCCCCCATTGTCATTTTTGCCTTATTAAAATATTCACGCGTTTAAGTGAGTTCGGTATTCCACCAGCTTACTTTTTTTGAAGTTTTCCTGCGCTTAACGAACAGTTATTTTGATAATTTTTAGTACTAACACTTGTTTTAACGGTTTTTAATACTGCCCCCAGCTCTACCCCGTATCCAAAGACTTTCTAGACACTTACAAGTACCAATGTGATTCTAAACAAAAGAAAAGACCAGAGGTCAATGTTAATAACCTCATTCCTTCATTCCAGTTACTGATTATAAAAGGAGGTTCATTCCCACAATTCAATATGTCCCGGTTGGTGGTTAAAATGAATTTAAGCAATTACTCACCTCTTTTGTTGTTTTCCGTGCTGCACCATGCAGGTTTTTGGGCCTGACAGGAGTTTACCAGGTTCCTCAGCTCATCTGTTGGTGGAAGACTCCAGTAAAAGTATGCAGAGGTTATAATGTTGCCTGCTATGATGTCCATCTTAACTGCTGCAGAAATCCGAGCTCAATCATATGCCCTTTGTAGATCCAGGGTTCTGATACTAGTGCTCCGTTTATGTCCTCTCTGATGATGGTTGCGGAGGCTGCCTTGTAATGCTTCAGATTAGCTCGCGCTATTCTGAGCATCCGAAGGTTCTTTCTTCTTCTATCTTTGCACTCTGAAGATTGCCTGCGTTAGACCCAGATAGGGTTTTAACTGCAGGTTTTCTAAAGCCTTCAGAGAATCGTCGTCAATTAACAACACAATGGTTTGACCGTTTGCTTCCAATTGTCTGTGAATTATTTGCCACCGTTCCGTTTGCAGCCCTTGGTTTTGGGATTTGAGAAACGTAAGAATCTTCGCGACGTCCATCGTCTGCATGGGTGTGGGTATCCAAGCTACAACTTTGTTGGTTCGAAAGATCTCGGTGGAGGTTCCCACCATAAGTTGCGCTCCCTGCCACGGTTGGAGATATGGGATTATTTCGCAGAGCCAGGTTTTTGCGGTGTCATTGGCACAGATCAAGAAGAGCGCTCCTTTATGGAAATATCCCTTCTTGAACTGCGGTCCTGATTCCTCTCCGCTCATCAAAATTTCTCTCATCAGTTCTTCCTGGATCCGATTCGCTTGATGTTCATTCAGTTTTTCCATAGGGAATCTTGTAGGTACTACCGCCATTTTAATAGGCGTCGTATAGGAGAAGCCAGCGTCTACCGCTTGCGCTGGAGAAATGGTTGCCCGATTGAGTTGCGGAGTTTGAATTAGAGTTCTTCTCTCAGCCCTGGGTATGACCGGTCGTCCTTCAGCAATAGCCTTCTGAATTGCTATTTTCCTTCTTTGGGCGCCCGAGAGCCGCGTAATCGGCTCCAGGTGAGTTCTGTCGAGTGTTGAGGCAAATCTGTTTCGGTTAGTTTCGTCTTTGGGGCTCGCCTGAGGTATTGTGAGATTACTTCCCCCAGAACGTTTACGTTTGAATGGTCGTCCTTCAGCAATAGCCTTCTGAATTGCTAATTTCTTCTTTTGGGCGCCTGAGAGACGTTTAAACGGCTCCAGGTTAGGCCTGGTGAGTTTTGCGGCAACTCTATTCTGGCTAGTTTCATTCTTAGAGTTTGTGGAGCTACCACTGGGCCTCGGAAGTTGTTCCGCCTGAGGTGTACCCTCAGGACGTTGCACATAAGTTAATTCTTCTGGTGTTGTTTTTAAATTGTTTTGGTCCATATTAGTCCCACGATCAGCTAGGGAAATAAACGTCCGCCCGATCAGAGCCCCGCATAACCGGGTAAGGCTGGATACAAGGGGGTTTCGCCTGGTGCCCCCAGAGGAACGTTCGCGACCGCTTGCCCAGCGGCCATTCAGCTTTCGGCACGTTGCCTTACACCTTAGCTTGGGTTTTCGTTGGAGTGTCGTTTGGTTAGTTAATAGAGTTGCTCTAGAGCAACGCTATTAACGTATCCAGCGGTGCCACGGGGAGGCAGACACTCGATGAATGTATTTCTCCATTGCTATGCAGAAAGAGATACTTACAAGTAAGTAATCTTAACTACAAAGCAATGGCTAAGGCTACAACCAATCCCGCCATACCTCTATGCAGCATCGAAAAGTAAGGGCATATAAAGATATCCGGGTTCAATTCCCAGGAACGACAGGCTTTTTTTTAAATCTCCAATAGTTTACCCTTTTGGGGTTTGCGGATGGTCTTAACGATTCGTAGGGGGATTTTTGAGTATTGTTTCCGAATTTTCAAATTATCCGGGTACGATTATCATTTGTTTTGACACTACTTCAGTGTAAATATTAAATACAAGTTGCTGTAGGGAGTGAAGATAGTTTGGCAACAGATATATCTGGTAAAAATTGTTTTATTGATTGATTTTTTTAAAATTTTTATTTAATATTATTTATTATTATTGATTATTGATTTTTATTGATTTATATCGATTTATATCGATTTATATTGATTTATATTGATTTGATTTATATCGATTTATATTGATTATTATAGATTTTTAATGATTTTTACTGATTTTTACTGATTTTTTTATTGATTTTTATTTAATTTTATTTATTATTATTATTGATTTTTAATGCTTTTTTATTGATTTTCATTGATTGATTTTTTAAAAATTTTTATTTAATATTATTTATTATTATTGATTATTTATTGATTTATATCGATTTATATTGATTTATATCGATTTATATTGATTTTTATGGATTTTCAATGATTTTTACTGATTTTTTATTGATTTTTATTTAATTTTATTTATTATTATTACTGATTTTTTATTGATTTCTATTGATTTTTATTAATTTTTGTTGCTTTTTTTAATGCTTTTTACGGCTTTTTTAATGATTTTTATTGATTTTTTATTGATTTTTAATGCTTTTTTATTGATTGATTTTTTTAAAAATTTTATTTAATATTATTTATTATTATTGATTATTTATTGATTTTTATTGATTGATTTTTATTGATTCCTATTGAATTTTATTGACTTTTAATGCTTTTTTATTGATTTTTTATTGATTCCTATTGAATTTTATTGATTTTTACTTGATTTTTATTGATTTTAGTTGATTTTTATTTAATTTTATTTATTATTATTATTATTGATTTTTAATGCTTTTTATTGATTTTTTAAAAATTTTTATTTAATATTATTTATTATTATTGATTATTTATTGATTTATATCGATTTATATTGATTTATATCGATTTATATTGATTTTTATGGATTTTCAATGATTTTTACTGATTTTTTTATTGATTTTTATTTAATTTTATTTATTATTATTTAATTTTATTTAATATTATTACTGATTTTTTATTGATTTCTATTGATTTTTATTAATTTTTGTTGCTTTTTTTAATGATTTTTACGGCTTTTTTAATGATTTTTATTGATTTTTTATTGATTTTTAATGCTTTTTTATTGATTGATTTTTTTAAAAATTTTATTTAATATTATTTATTATTATTGATTATTTATTGATTTTTATTGATTGATTTTTATTGATTTTTATTGATTCCTATTGAATTTTATTGACTTTTAATGCTTTTTTATTGATTTTTATTGATTCCTATTGAATTTTATTGATTTTTAATGCTTTTTTATTGATTTTTATTGATTTTTTTATTGATTCGTATTGAATTTTATTGATTTTTATTGATTTTAGTTGATTTTTATTTAATTTGATTTATTATTATTAATTTTTGTTGTTTTAATTTTTGATTTTTATTGCTTTTATTGATGTAGAAAAATAAAGTATCCTAGTAATTTAGTTAAATGAAAATTTACGTTTAAAGTTGAAAAATATAGTGTCCCAGTAAACTTTTCCTGGATAATAATTTTTATTAAATAAGATATTTATAAATATATGTTAATTTTATTAATTATTAAGTCAAATAATTATTTAGTTACCAAGTAATTACCAATAGAATCCACATTCACTTTTTTGTATATATTTTGTGGTTGTACAGAAGAAGGAAAGGTAATTTTCGAATGGAGCTTCATTACATCCCCCCCTTTTTTAAAAATTCGATTATTTTACAAATAAAAACGACTGGAACGTAATTAAATTGATTAGATATTCTTCTAAAGTGGTTTCTCCATAAATTGAGTGGAAGGGATGAAATATTTTTACGACATATTAGGAAAAAAAAAATAGGAAAAATTATAAGAAAACAAAGAGAAAAAAATCGTTAGTAGTCACACAAAAAAATGTTTACCAGCTAACATAAACCAAAAAAATACGGTCATGGACTTACCTTTCTGACAGATGTCTTAAAGCTGTCTTTGGTTAATAGTTACGGTTAAAAAAATGGAATTAAAGTAAAATAACGAAATATCTCATAAAAATATGTACTTATATAAATAACATCAATTTTTTTTTTAATTTGAGAAAATTATAGTTAACAGAATAATCTCGAAAACTAACAGGGCGAATCACAATAAAATATATAAATAATAACTTTGGTAACAATTTTATTAGAAATATAATTCAAATCTCGGGATTTAATTAAATTCACCCTGTACTACTTTTTAAATATTGCTCCTACCCAATAAAAAATTATTTCCTTACGGTGCTAGTTTGTTATTTAAAATACCGGGCGATTCTCTACAAGTGAACTCAAAATTTTTTTTAATTATTTGTGTAGTCGTAGAAAAAGTATAGTACGCAAATATTTTTCCCATTGTTTATACTTATAAAATGTTTAACTTTGATTAATGTAAAATATAAAACATCAAGAATCACCCTGTACAGACATTAAACAATTAAGTTAATCTTATTCGTAAATGCAAGAAGATAAATAAAAATATTAAAGATTCATAAATTAAAACAAAATTTCCTTAAACTATATTATTAATTCATAAAATAAACCATTTCTCCAGTCTCATTCATAATTATACGGTGCGTAGAAAAAGTATGGAATAAATTTATTAATTCGCAAACAAACTGTTGAATTTTGTTTTTTTTGTATATTTTTGGATTTGGTTGTATAGAAATAGAAAAATTTATGTTCGAATGGAGGCTTCATTACATCCCCCCCTTTTTCAAAATTCAATTAGAGAAATTAGAATAACTTAAATCTAATATATTAAAAAAAGTTTGATTCGTACCTGAATTATGCAACACCCTGTATTAATCAATGTAATTTTAAAAGATAGCCTTCAAGTTAACCTACAAATTTTGTTAATACATTTTTTAATATCTCTAACCACAAGAATGATATCGAACTTTTCCACAATATTGGTGCACCCTGTATGATGCATCTAGATTATTTTTTAAATCCCCTCCAACACACATTCGTTCCCCATTTTTTATTTTTTTGAATGTTTGTACAGAAGAAAGTTCGAATTTCGAATGGAGCTTCATTACATCCCCCCCTTTTTTTAAAATTCGATTTTTTTATAAAGAAAGAAAAATATAAGAAAATAAATAAGTAAAAAAATCAAAGTAATTATTATATTATCTACATCTTTATTGAGACTTACATTTTCATCTGCACGACGAGGGCACGTCGCAATTCATTTTTTCTTACACTACCTTTTAGCCCGTCCCACTGACAGGACGCGCTTTCTTTCAAAAATAGTTATTCATTTATTGCAAAAATATTGTATTCCATATTTTTTACACGCACTGTATACGCATTTGTATTTATTCGAAAACAGATGCACGGTAAATATCAAATCGTTCATAACTTAATTGTAGGTACTAAGTGTATTTGTATAAGTGAAAAGAAAAATGTATATTCAAAAATATGATCACTTTGAAAGTGATAGAGTAGACTTTATATACTACTTTGTTTTTGTTGCCTTTTTGTAGTAGCGGTTGCTTCTTTATTGACGTTTTAAATACTGTTTGTTGGGTGTTCCTGGGGAACAAAAATTCTTCGAAATATTACCTGAAAATAAAAAACTACTAGTAGTATTGATTTTAATTTATTTTAATTGATTTTAATTGATTTAAATTGATTTAAATTGATTTTAATTGATTTTAATTGATTTAAATTGATTTTAATTGATTTAAATTGATTTTAATTGATTTTAATTGATTTTAATTGATTTTAATTGATTTTAATTGATTTTAATTGATTTTAATTGATTTTAATTGATTTTAATTGATTTTAATTGATTTTAATTGATTTTAATTGATTTTAATTGATTTTAATTGATTTTAATTGATTTTAATTGATTTTAATTGATTTTAATTGATTTTAATTGATTTTAATTGATTTTAATTGACTGTAATTGATTTTAAATTGATTTTAATTGACTGTAATTGATTTTAAATTGATTTTTATCGCTTTTTAATGATTTTAATTGATTTTTACTGATTTTCATTGATTATTATCGATTTTAATTGATTTTTTATTGAATTTAATTGATTTTTTATTGATTTTAATTGATTTAAATTAATTTTTATTTTCCTGAAATATTTTAATAAGCTGGAAATAAAACTGATTAAAATAAAACCTTTCTTACCTCACTTTTCCTTCTGCCGCCATTTTGGCGTTTGCATTTTCGATTCTCATTCTTTTTGTTTGTTTTTGGTGCTGCTCTTGAAAATCTCTTTCCGTTATATCCAACCTATTTATCTAAAAATTATAAAATAGTTATTTGACTAGGAACTAGACAAAGAATTGTTTTCAAATAATTATTTTTTAAATAAAATACTTACATTATAAACTAGGTTTTCTTCGGCTAAAATGCTTTCAGGTGGATTACGTATCCTAGCCAAAGTCTCGCAAAGACCAGGACATTGTCTTCGACTTTTCGGTGTACCCAAACAGCCTGAAATATCAAATTTTATATTAACTAAAAGTTAATTTAAAACCAGTTTTTAAAATTCGAGGATTTCCCATCTTAAATTTCTTAAAAAATCTAAAAATTTCTTAAAAAATCTAGAAATTTCTTAAAACACCTAAAATTTTCTTAAAATAGTTAAAATTTTCTTAAAAAATTAAAAATGTTCTTCAAATCGTTAAAACTTTCTTAAAAAATTAAAAATTTCTTTAAAAAACTAAAAATTTCTTAAAATATCTAAAATGTTCTTAAAAAAATCTAAATATTTCTTAAAGCACCTAAAATTTTCTTAAAATCGTTAAAACTTTCTTAAAAAAATAAAAATTTCTTAAAAAACTAAAAATGTCTTAAAAATCAAGAAATTTCTTAAAACATCCAAAATTTTCTTAACATCATTAAAACTTTCTTAAAAAATTTAAAATTTCTTAAAAAATCTAAAAATTTCTTAAAACATTAAAATTTTCTTAAAATCGTTAAACATTTCTTAAAAAATTAAGTTTTCTAAAAAACTAAAAATTTACAAAAATCTAAAAATTTCTTTAAAAATCTAGAATTTTCTTAAAATCGTTAAAAATTTCTTGAAATATTAAAAATTTATTTAAAAAACTAAAAATTTCTTAAAAAAACTAAAAATTTCTTAAAAAAACTAAAAATTTCCAAAAAATTTCTTAAAAAATCTAACAATTTCTTAAAATCCCTAAAAAAATTAAAACTTTCTTAAAAAATTAAAAATTTCTTTAAGAAACTAAAAAGTTCTTAATTTAAAAATCTAGAAATTTCTAAAAACATCTAAAATTTTCTTAAAATCGTTAAAACTTTTTTGAAAAATTAAAAATTTCTTAAAAAAACTAAAAATTTCTTAAAAAAAACTAAAAATTTCTTAAAAATTTCTTAAAATCCCTAAAAAAAAATTAAAAATTTCTTAAGACATCAAAAAAAATCTAAAAATTACTTGAAAAAACCAAAAAAAAAATTTTAAAAATCTAAAAAAATTTTTAAAGTATTTAAAAATTTCTTTAAAAAACCTAAAAATTTCTTAAATAATATAAAAATTTCTTAGAAAAATCTAAAATATATATTTTTACTTACCAATAAGTATAACTAAAGAAGTTTTAAATAAAACTTTAACTCCTTCGCAAAGGAAGATGTCCCATACCCTCAAGAGGGTATCCCAAGGTAAAGTCCTGGTAAATGCGCATAGAAACCATTCTGTACAATAAAACATCGGTTCTGCACTGACTTTTTTTAAATGCCTATAGACCGGTGGACAAACCTTTTTTAATAAACCTAAAATAATATTAAATTAAAAAATATTTCACAATAAAAGTAATTTTGAATAGTTTAGTGTAATTATGAATAATTATGAATAATTATGGATAGTTATGAATAGTTATGAATAATTAATTATGAATAATTATGAATAATTATGAATAATTATTAATAATTATTAATAATTATGAATAATTATGAATAATTATGAATAATTATGAATAATTATGAATAATTATGAATAATTATGAATAATTATGAATAATTATGAATAATTATGAATAATTATGAATAATTATGAATATGTATGAATAATTATGAATAATTATGAATAATTATGAATAATTATGAATAATTATGAATAATTATGAATAATTATGAATAATTATGAATAATTATGAATAATTATGAATAATTATGAATAATTATGAATAATTATGAATAATTATGAATAATTATGAATAATTATGAATAATTATTTATGAATAATTACGAATAGTTATGAATAATTACGAATAATTAGGAATAGTTATGAATAATTATAAATAATTATAAATAATTATAAATAATTATAAATAATTATAAATAATTAGGAATAATTAGGAATAGTTATAAATAATTATAAATAATTATAAATAATTATAAATAATTATAAATAATTATAAATAATTATAAATAATTATAAATAATTATAAATAATTATAATTATAAATAATTATAAATAATTATAAATAATTATAAATAATTATAAATAATTATAATTATAAATAATTATAAATAATTATAAATAATTATAAATAATTATAAATAATTATAAATAATTTTAAATAATTATAAATAATTATAAATAATTATAAATAATTATAAATAATTATAAATAATTATAAATAATTATAAATAATTATAATTATAAATAATTATAAATAATTATAAATAATTATAAATAATTATAAATAATTATAAATAATTATAAATAATTATAAATAATTATAAATAATTATAAATAATTATAAATAATTATAAATAATTATAAATTATTATAAATAATTATAAATAATTATAAATAATTATAAATAATTATAATTATGAATAATTATAATTATGAATAATTATAAATAATTATGAATAATTAGGAATAATTAGGAATAATTATGAATAATTATGAATAGTTATGAATAGTTATGAATAATTATGAATAATTAGGAATAATTAGGAATAATTAGGAATAATTATGAATAATTATGAATAGTTATGAATAGTTATGAATATTTATGAATAATTACGAATAATTATGAATAGTTATAAATAGTTATGAATAATTATGAATAATTACGAATAATTATGAATAGTTATGAATAATTATAAATAATTATGAATAGTTATGGATAGTTATGAATGGTTATGAATAATTATGAATAATTATGAATAATTATGAATAATTATGAATAATTATGAATAATTATGAATAATTATGAATAATTATAAATAATTAGGAATAATTATGAATAATTACGAATAATTACGAATAATTACGAATAATTATGAATAATTATGAATAATTATGAATAATTATGAATAATTTCGAATAATTTATGTAATATCTCACCCTGTAAAATAAGTCCATCCCTTTGTACCACGTCCATAGTAGGCGAGTAATAATCCTCAAGATATTTGTTTGATATTGAAACAAGACACCAGAAAGCCTGTACAGAGGGCATGTGCATTAACAGAAATGCCGCTACAGGCGCCTGAGCTTGACAGTAGCCAATGTCAGGAAAATGAACGGTATACGCTTTAAGCACGTTAAAAAGCTCTTGTTGTCTAAAAATAGTTCGTATATTATGTTTTGTCTGCTGTTGATAAGTATAAAATCTATTAGATCAGCTACCTTCTTAAAAAGTCCTGTACAAAGCAACAAATAAAATCATTAATAATAAATTACTAACCCTGGTTTATCTTCAGAGCTAAACATCTCATGTAAGGGAAACTGCCTGTGTATATCTTTTTTTATATCTTCAATGCATTTCGGATCACCCTCAGCTTTCAAACATTCTTCATATTTATTCGGTTGTTTGTCCAACAAAACTTTACCTCCACACAAATACAGCCATGCCTTGGGACGCATGGACTGAGGAATACCTATAAATACCTAATTGTTACCCACTAGAATCATTTTAAGCCACTGGGCTTCCGTTTATAGAAAGCCCAGTGGCCTCAGACGCCGAGTGAAATGCGATATATATATATATATATATATATATATATATATATATATATATATATTTAAAGTGACAGTTTTTCTTACTTTTTACGTATATTAAAAAACGAAACTATCATTTTTACCTTTTCTACACCTCTCTTTAACTTTCCTATAATTCGTATCCATATAAAAATTCCATTGCGACAACATTTTCAGCCATTTCCTTTCCCTTCTCAAAACGGTTTCGGCCGGTGGGCCCTGTCTGGGTTCCGGAGAGTACTGAGAACCTCCCAAGAAGCCATGACGGTCCGGAACCGTCGATATTACGCTTCCATCTAACAAAGTGGAAGCTTCAGAGGTTACGGAAATGGCGTCCGGTGCTAGTGAGTTTTCTGAGATCATCTTTTAGTGACGATTATCGTTGTAATGACATCTTCGGAGTCTGTGAATGGAAAAATTGTTTGTTGGATTTTGTTTGCGGTTGTTGTTAAGGGCCAGGGTCAGTTCGGTGATATTGTAATGAAATATTAATAATGGGATATTGTTGTATTTGTTTATTACATATTATTTATGTAAATTATAAATAAAGTATCTGTGAAAAAATGTTTGTCATTTCTGAACAATTATGGCTATAAAATTAAAATCTGATATTTCTTTAAAAAATTAAACAAAGGGGGTACGTTTCAGTGTTGATGAAAAAAATAATTTCTTAAAAAATAAAAATTTATTAAGAAATTTAAAAAATCTAAAAGTTCTTAAAATTTTAATTTCTCTAAAAAATTATTAAAAAATTAAAAATTACTTAAAACTAAAAATTTCTTAAAAATCTAGAAATTTCTTAAAAAATTAAAAAAATTAAAAATTTCTTAAAAAATCTATTTTTTTTAAATCTAATAATTTTTTGAAAAATCAAAAATTTCTTAAAAAATCTAAAAATTTATTAAAAAATCTAAATTTCTTAAGGATCTAAAAATTTCTTAAAAAATTTTAAAATTCTTAAAATTTAAAAATTCTTAAAATCTCCAATTAAAAAATTAATAAAAATTAAAAAATATTAATAAAAATGATTAAAAAAATAAGAAAACAAATAATAATAAAAATGAAAAATTAATTAATAAAAATCTATAAAAATTAAAAAACAATAAAAATTAATAAAAAAAAATAAAAAAATAAATGAAAATAAATAAAAATTATTAAAAAATTATTTAAAAAAATAAAAACAAATAAAAATTAATAAAATCAATGAAATAAATTCAAAAAAATTAAAAAACAAAAATTAATAAAAATAAATAAAAATAGAAAAAATAAATTAAAATAAATAAAAATTTTTTCTCATCTAAAAATTTCTTAAAAAATCTAACAATTTCTTAAAAATTAAAAAATTTAAAAAATCTAAAAGTTCTTAAAATTCCTAAAAATTTCTTTAAAAATCTGAAATGTTCTTAAATTCTCTAAAAAAATTTTAAAAAATTTAAAATTTCTAAAAAATTTAGAAATTCAAAAATCAAAAAAAAACTAAAAAAAAAATTAAAAATTTCTTAAAAATCCTAAAAAAAATTTTAAAAAATAAAATCTAATAATTTCTTGAAAAATCAAAAATTTCTTAAAAATTAACAATTTCTAAAAAAAATCTAAAAATTTATTAAAAATCTAAATTTCTTAAAAATCTAAAAATTTATTAAAAAATCTAAATTTCTTGGAAATTAAAAATTTTTTATCTAGAAATTTCTTAAAAATGCTTAAAAAATTCTTAAAATCTCTAAATAAAAATAAATAAATAAAAATGATTAAAAAATAAGAAAACAAATAATAAAAATTAATAAATAAAAATCTATAAAAATTAAAAAAACATTAATAAAAATTAATAAAAAAAAAAATTAATAAAAATAAATAAATAAAAATAGAAAAAATAAATTAAAATAAATAAAAATTTCTTTCATCTAAAAATGTCTTAAAAAGTCTAACAATTTCATAAAAATTAAAAAATTTTAAAAATCTAAAAGTTCTTAAAATTCCTAAAAATTTCTTTAAAAATCTGAAATGTTCTTAAATTCTCTAAAAAATTTTTAAAAAATTTAGAAATTCAAAAATAAAAAAAAAAACTAAAAAAAAATTTCTTAAAAATTCTAAAAAAATTTTTAAAAAATAAAATCTAATAATTTCTTGAAAAATCAAAAATTTCTTAAAAATCTAACAATTTCTAAAAAAATCTAAAAATTTATTAAAAATCTAAATTTCTTAAAAATCTAAAAATTTATTAAAAAATCTAAATTTCTTGGAAATCTAAAAATTTTTTATCTAGAAATTTCTTAAAAATGCTTAAAAAATTCTTAAAATCTCTAAATAAAAATAAATAAATAAAAATGATTAAAAAATAAGAAAACAAATAATAAAAATTAATAAATAAAAATCTATAAAAATTAATAAAACATTAATAAAAATTAATAAAAAAAAACAAAAATTAATAAAAATAAATAAATAAAAATAGAAAAAATAAATTAAAATAAATAAAAATTTCTTTCATCTAAAAATGTCTTAAAAAATCTAACAATTTCATAAAAATTAAAAAATTTAAAAAATCTAAAAGTTCTTAAAATTACTAAAAAAATTTCTTTAAAAATCTGAAATGTTCTTAAATTCTCTAAAAAATTTTTAAAAAATTTAAAATTTCTAAAAAATTTAGAAATTCAAAAATCAAAAAAAAAACTAAAAAAAAATTAAAAATTTCTTAAAAATTCTAAAAAAATTTTTAAAAAATAAAATCTAATAATTTCTTGAAAAATCAAAAATTTCTTAAAAATCTAAAAATTTCTAAAAAAATCTAAAAATTTATTAAAAATCTAAATTTCTTAAAAATCTAAAAATTTATTAAAAAATCTAAATTTCTTGGAAATCTAAAAATTTTTTATCTAGAAATTTCTTAAAAATGCTTAAAAAATTCTAAAAATCTCTAAATAAAAATAAATAAATAAAAATGATTAAAAAATAAGAAAACAAATAATAAAAATTAATAAATAAAAATCTATAAAAATTAAAAAAACATTAATAAAAAAAACAAAAATTAATAAAAATCAATGAAAAAAAATAAAAATTAATAAATATAATAAAAATTAATAAAAATGAATAAAATTAATGAGTATTTTGTAATTTTAATGAGTGTATTCTATTAGCAAAGTGTAAACAAGGGCATTTTAGTCTTGATTTTTGATAATCCTTGTAAAAAAGCATTTATTTTAAATTTTATTTAATTTAGTATTTGATTTTAGGCATTAAAAAATTCATTTTAATAAGAAAACATTAAAAAATGAGTCTCCTTGCATAATAATAAATTTCCCCCTAAATTCAAGACAATTTTAAGATATGGCAACAAAGCATCGAAATTTTCTCTACTTTACTTATGCCCCAAATTAAAATTCAATATGGATGCAGTAAAATTATCAATTTTACATGAAATCCTAATTTGTGCACAGTTTAAAAACATTCAAAAAAATATGTAGAATGCTGTACATTTTTTGAACTGCAGTATTTTTTTCATATTTTTTAATAGTATTTAATAATTAGAAGGCTTTAAAGAAAATTCAAATTGATACTGAGATATTTAACAAAAACTCTGATATTTCTTTAAAAAATATATTCAAAAGGGGGACTATAAGACACATTTCAATGTTGATAAAAAAAGGAATGTAGGGTTATCCTTGCATTTCACCTGTGCCTTGGCTTCATTACAGTGACCATTCTCATTAAATACTGCACAAATACAGTCATCAACTACACTATTAATACCAAAAACAGGCATATTACAATTTAATTCACTCTATCTGCTATATAATATTGTTTTTCCTGCCATACCTTTTGACACAACAGCATTTAATGAATTTTACCACTCTATAACAGTTTTATGAGCTATTTAATAGGCATAGTGAGTTTTTACTACAAGAAATTGGTGTTAAATGTAGAATTTAGTTATTATATAGTCATTTTAGCCATAAATGATGAATTTTTTAAAAATGTAGTTCATATATCTGTAGCTTAGAGGTAAACTGCACTGTATCATTCTAGTTAGCTTTTCAGTATAGCATTTTCAATGTTGTTTGGGTCATTTTTGGGCTATATAATTACATATTGTTTCGAGAAGAAATCCATTTAGACACCCATTTATTGTCAGAATATTTATGTATTTTTTACCAACCTAACTAATAAAACTTCCTATTTTTATTTTAATTTGTTTTGTATCAACATAGTGCAGTTCCCCTCCAAGGCAAAGATATATAGGTAGATTTTTGTCAGATTAGCATAAACAACATTTGTTCAAATGGCAAAAAGTATCAATATAGTTCATTCATTTTTTTTAATAAGCAAATACCATTTTTTTATTTACCTCTACCTAACTAAAAATGTTACAAAATTAAAAACAAAAAATGTGAAATGTATTTTTGAAATTTAAACCACGTCAAATGTAACTGCATTTGCGAAATATTTAGCAAAAGTTAATAACAGAACAAAGCAATTAAATTCCTGGTGTATAACGAAATTTTGAAGTTTGGTAATTAGTTAATTTGCAATTCAATATGAATCATCTTGTAAATTCCCATACTCAGTGCACAATATGTATTTAAAATTGATTTAAAATGATTCCTATACATTAAATCATTAGCTACAATAATATTTTTGTGGTAAATTAAAAATGCAAGATGTTTACTTACTTACCAGGATCGCGTTTTGAATTTGCTTTTCAACTGGAATTCGGACGTTTATTTTTCACTTTAGTTGATGACAACGTTTGAACTACACTTAAATTTAAATATAACACTTGGAATATAGAAATTATACAAATATTTTTTAATAATAATTAGATTATTTTCTACAAAATATTTGGAGGCGAGGCTTGTTATTTTTGACTTGACAACTAGATGACAATTATGACACATGAGAGGTGTCAAATGTTACAAAATTATTCTTCTTCGTTAATAATTAATAGATGGTCTTGATCTATGAAGGAATGATTGTATACTACTACTATTTAGGTAACCAGCTCCTTATGGCGTTTTTAAATGTTACAAAATAATCCTTCTTCGTTAATAATTAATAGATGGTCTTGATCTATGAAGGAATGATTGGATACTACTACTATTTAGGTAACCAGCTCCTTAGGGCGTTTTTTTTAATAATAATGGATTTTTTTCCGCAAAATAGTTGTATTTAACTACAAAATGGCTGCCCGTTTGAAATGACAGGCACATGATTAATATGGCAACACTGTGAGCCTGGTAGTTTGATAGGGTCAATGATGTAGTTATATAGATTGATCATCTATGTTTTTTAAAAATAAACATTGAAGTAAAAACGTAAGTAAATAATTTTTTTAACATATTCAAAGGCTGGAAATTGGTTTTGAAATACATTTTTGCTGAACAGATTCAAATTAATGAACACTTTCTAGGCAATATGGTCGCAAACGACCCACTTTGAGCAATCTATATAATTATATATGTAACATTGACCCTGTCAATAACAGGGTTGCCATATCTACAGTTCCCACTGGCAGCATTTTGACAGGTCGTTGGAATGCTTAATTAAGCAATCCAATGTCCTGTCAGAATGGATAAAAATGGCCGATGCTTGGCGAAAACATTAATTATTAATTAATTAATAAGAAAACTATATATTTTTGATATTAATACATTTTAGTACCTATAAAAATTAATTTCAAAATTCCTTGGATAATAACCTTCATTACATCCCCCCCGCACTTGCATCCTCGATACCGTTACACATCAAACGGTTATTAATAGAAAGTAGGCCATTAATGGGACCAATTAATGCCATTGTCAACATTACCTGGATGTGTTAACACACGCTCAACGGAAAAATATGTAAAATTGGTAACAAGAAAACTAAGAAAATGTTATAAGCAAAAACTATATTTAATGTATAAAAAAATGTAACAAAATGTCTTCATAACATACGTATTAATATTTCAAACCTAGTGAATAAATAATTATCTATTTCTTTTTTCAATTGACCACAGATGCTATTATATTAATACAAATAAATAAAATTTTACAATCTTGATATTTTTCTTTTAGTTCACTAAACATTTGTTCGTAATATAACACATTTTAATATCTTAATTTAATAATAAAATTGAAGTAACAGTAGTTAATATAACAGTCGAAAATCTCTATCACACTTCTTGTAAATGCTTAGAAACAGCTAGTGATTTAAACGGTTCAGACCACATCTTTCTCAAATCACCCTAAAACAGAAAAACTCTCATCGAGTCGTAGAAAAAATAAACTTTTGTTGGCTCACCTTGAGGTACGCCATTGTGAGCAAAGGTAACAGAGTGAAGGGAACTAAATATAAGAGAGCTGGTTGGGCGGCTTTGAACAGTTCGGATGTGACAGTAGCTGTCAGTAAGCCTAGAAAATAACCTAAAAGAGAACAATGAAAGTAAGTCAGTCTGGATCCGGATAGACCTTGGGATTTCCTATAGGCGTCGTAACGCAATACGAAACACAGCAACAGACCCGGCATCACAATGTCTCCTAAACCTGGAACATTAATAATTTAAATTAGATAGAAATATTTATTAAGTTCAATTTTTGTTTAATTAATGCTAAATTAACAATCATCAACAATAATCAACAATCATCATTAACAATCAATCATCAACAATTATCTACACAATCATTAGAATCAATCCTCAATAATCAATCATAAACAATCAATCATCAACAATCAATCAATCATCTACACTCAATCATCTAGAATCAATCATAAACAATCAATCATAAACAATCAATCAACTATCAATCAATAAATCAAAAAATCAATCATCAACAATCAATCATAAACAATCAATCATTAATTATCAACAATCAATCATTAACAATCAATGATAAATAATGAATTACCAACTATCAATCATCAACAATCAATCATCAACAATCAATCATAAACAATCAATCATAAACAATCAATCCTCAACAATCAATCATCAACAATTAATCATCAACTATCAATCATCAACAATCAATTATAAACAATCAATCATAAACAATCCAGAATCAATCCTCAACAATCAATCATCAACTATCAATCCTCAACAATCAATCATCAACAATCAATCATCAACAATCAATCATCAACAATCAATCCTCAACAATCAATCATAAACAATTAATCATCAACTATCAATCCTCAACAATCTATCATCAACAATCAATCATAAACAATCATCCAGAATCAATCCTCAACAATCAATCATAAACAATCATCCAGAATCAATCCTCAACAATCAATCATAAACAATCAATCATGAACTATTAATCATCAACAATCAATCATCAACAATCAATCATCAACAATCAATCATCTACACTCAATCATCTAGAATCAATCCTCAACAATCAACCATAAACAATCAATCATCAACTATCAATTATCAACTATCAATCCTCAACAATCAATCATGAACAATCAATCAGAAACAATCAATCATAAACAATCATCCAGAATCAATTCTCAACAATCAATCATCAACTATCAATCCTCAACAATCATCTACACTCAATTATCTAGAATCAATCCTCAACAATCAATCATAAACAATCAATTATCAATCATCAACTATCAATCCTCAACAATCAATCCTCAACAATCACTCCTCAACAATCAATCATAAACAATCAATCATCAACTATCAATCCTCAACAATTAATTATCAACAATCAATCATCAACAATCAATTATAAACAATCAATCATAAACAATCATCCAGAATCAATCCTCAACAATCAATCATAAACAATCATCCAGAATCAATCCTCAACAATAAATCATAAACAATCAATAATTAACTATTAATCATCAACAATCAATCATCAACAATCAATCATAAACAATTAATCATCAACTATCAATCCTCAACAATCAATCATCAACAATTAATCATCAACTATCAATCCTCAACAATCAATCATCAACAATCAATCATCAACAATCAATCCTCAACAATCAATCATCAACAATTAATCATCAACTATCAATCATCAACAATCAATCATCAACAATCAATTATAAACAATCAATCATAAACAATCCAGAATCAATCCTCAACAATCAATTCTCAACAATCAATCATAAACAATTAATCATCAACTATCAATCCTCAACAATCAATCAACAATCAATCATCAACAATCAATCCTCAACAATCAATCCTCAACAATCAATCATCAACAATCAATCATAAACAATCATCCAGAATCAATCCTCAACAATCAATCATAAACAATAATCCAGAATCAATCCTCAACAATCAATCATAAACAATCAATCATGAACTATTAATCATCAACAATCAATCATCAACAATCTATCATCAACAATCAATCCTCAACAATCAATCATAAACAATTAATCATCAACTATCAATCCTCAACAATCAATCATCAACAATCAATCATCAACAATCAATCCTCAACAATCAATCATCAACAATCAATCATAAACAATCATCCAGAATCAATCCTCAACAATCAATCATAAACAATCAATCATGAACTATTAATCATCAACAATCAATCATCAACAATCAATCATCAACAATCAATCATCAACAATCAATTCTCAACAATCAATCATAAACAATCAATCATGAACTATTAATCATCAACAATCAATCATCAACAATCTATCATCAACAATCAATCCTCAACAATCAATCATAAACAATTAATCATCAACTATCAATCCTCAACAATCAATCATCAACAATCAATCCTCAACAATCAATCATCAACAATCAATCATAAACAATCATCCAGAATCAATCCTCAACAATCAATCATAAACAATCAATCATGAACTATTAATTATCAACAATCAATCATCAACAATCAATCATCAACAATCAATCATCAACAATCAATCCTCAACAATCAATCATAAACAATTAATCATCAACTATCAATCCTCAACAATCAATCATCAACAATCAATCCTCAACAATCAATCATCAACAATCAATCATAAACAATCATCCAGAATCAATCCTCAACAATCAATCATAAACAATCAATCATAAACAATCAATCATGAACTATTAATCATCAACAATCAATCATAAACAATCAATCATTAATAATCAATCATCAATAATCGATCAATCATCAATAATCGATCAACAATCAATTCTCAACAATCAATCCTCAACAATCAATCATCAACAATCATCTACACTTAATCATCTAGAATCAATCCTCAACAATATCGCTTTCTTACCTAACATACTAAAGTGTCCCGAATTATGAATGCATGGAAACAAAAGTTTACCAGGCAGACTGAGTTTCGGCGCTTCTTTGGCAACGCCCCCTATGTGCAATTTTCTAGCAACTATGCTCACCGGGTTTTCGGCCGGTCTTGTAGCTACCTACAAATATAAAATTGACGGTACAGTGACGTACCTGTATTTCCACTAATTTATTACATGTTAACAGACTTTTATAACATATTCTCATTGGTATGAATGGGCATATTATCTGCCCTGTGGACTGTATATCCGGTATATTTATTTTTACCCGACAATATTGATTTGTAAACCGACTTAAACGGCAAAGAGTCGTCTATTTATATAAAAATTGCTGCGCACCGCACTGGTCTCGCAGAATTCTAGATATTTCTTGAATGTACTAGATGAGAAAATTGTTATAGATGACATAAATTGGATTGCCAAGCCCCTTAAAAGTCACGTGAAATACATAATAATAGCAATGAACATGTAAAGCTAAAGCATATGGACACAAATTTGGAGTTATTTACATTTTTTTTCTACATACCTTGACCATGACATTGGTGCTGAAAATATACGAAGAGAAAAACACCCAAAACACATCGTATATTAATAAACCAGTCAAAAGTAGGGTGGATACTTTTAAACTGGGCAATCTCACAAAGGCAATGAAAGCTACGCATAATCCCATACCCATTGCGTCCATCAAAAGCCAATGACCTAAAAAAATGGCTCATCAACACATAACTCATGTAGAAATCACTATAAAATTTGTTAAACAAGTTTTAATAGTGGATAAAGAAAAGCAATTTAAAACGTTCTTCCATTATACCTAGAAATATAATTACCTGTCAAAACCCAAATACAAACGATGAACATAGATAGAGAAAAAGAAAACAGTTCAGCGGCAGTAAACCTTCCGCACATTCCAAACGAGATCTTTTTTCCATCTGAACATGGTCCTATTATGTATTGACACATTGGCAGAAGAAGGAAGGCAAGAGCAACTGTTGCAATCACTAAAAAATTAAGTACACTTGATTTGTTTTTATATAAATCTCCTAAAATCATTTTTAACAAAGATACAGCTGTTTTTTGTTTAAAAATAATAATTAAAATAAAACACATCCAAACTTCTAGCCAACGAAGTATTTTGTAATACAGCATAATTTTTTATTATTAAATAAAAAAAAAAACAAAGCCATTTACAGGGGTGAAGATAGCAGCCAATTTCAGCAGCCAAAAAAACACAATTCGTCAAATAAATGAAAAGCCAAATTCATTTTTGGCAATTAAATAGTAAATTGCAAGTACTATATAGAATTAAAAGAAAAATTGCTTCCAAATAGCCAAAGGGTTGATTTCTCAATCCTCATATTTAAAAAAATCATAATTCGTAAAATAAATGAAAAGCCAAATTCATATTTGGCAATTAGAAAGTAAATGGCAAGTACTATATAGAATTAAAAGAAAAAAAAACTTCCAAATAGTCAAAGAAGTTGATTTCTCAATACTAATATTAAAAAAAAAATTATAATTTGTAAAATAAATGAAAAGCCAAATTCATATTTGGCAATTAAATAGTAAATTGTAAGTTCTATACAGAATTAAAGGGAAAATTACTTCCGAATAGTCAAAGGAGTTGATTTCTCAACCCTAATATTTAAAATAAAATCATAATTCGTAAAATAAATGAAAAGCCAAATTCATATTTGGCAACTAAATAGTAAATTGCAAGTACTATATAGAATTAAAAGAAAAATTGCTTCCAAATAGCCAAAGGGTTGATTTCTCAATCCTCATATTTAAAAAAATCATAATTTGTAAAATAAATGAGAAGCCAAATTCATATTTGGCAATTAGAAAGTAAATGGCAAGTACTATATAGAATTAAAAGAAAAAAAACTTCCAAATAGCCAAAGGGTTGATTTCTCAATCCCCATATTTAAAAAAATCATAATTTGTAAAATAAATGAAAAGCCAAATTCATATTTGGCAATTAGAAAGTAAATGGCAAGTACTATATAGAATTAAAAGAAAAAAAACTTCCAAATAGTCAAAGAAGTTGATTTCTCAATACTAATATTAAAAAAAAAATTATAATTTGTAAAATAAATGAAAAGCCAAATTCATATTTGGCAATTAAATAGTAAATTGTAAGTTCTATACAGAATTAAAGGGAAAATTACTTCCGAATAGTCAATGGAGCTGATTTCTCAACCCTAATTAAAATAAAATCATAATTCGTCAAATAAATGAAAAGCCAAATTCATATTTGGCAATTTAATAGTAAATTGCAAGTACTATATAGAATTAAAGGGAAAATTGCTTCCAAATAGTCAAAGGAGTTGATTTCTTAATGCTAATATTTAAAAAAATCATAATTCGTAAAATAAATGAAAAGCCAAATTCATATTTGGCAATTAGAAAGTAAATGGCAAGTACTATATAGAATTAAAAGAAAAAAAAACTTCCAAATAGTCAAAGAAGTTGATTTCTCAATCCTAATATTAAAAAAAAATTATAATTTGTAAAATAAATGAAAAGTAATTCATATTTGGCAATTAAATAGTAAATTGTAAGTTCTATACAGAATTAAAGGGAAAATTACTTCCGAATAGTCAAAAGAGTTGATTTCTCAACCCTAATATTTAAAATAAAATCATAATTCGTCAAATAAATGAAAAGCCAAATTCATATTTGGCAATTTAATAGTAAATTGCAAGTACTATATAGAATTAAAGGGAAAATTGCTTCCAAATAGTCAAAGGAGTTGATTTCTTAATGCTAATATTTAAAAAAATCATAATTCGTAAAATAAATGAAAAGCCAAATTCATATTTGGCAATTAGAAAGTAAATGGCAAGTACTATATAGAATTAAAAGAAAAAAAAAACTTCCAAATAGTCAAAGAAGTTGATTTCTCAATCCTAATATTAAAAAAAAATTATAATTTGTAAAATAAATGAAAAGCCAAATTCATATTTGGCAATTAAATAGTAAATTGTAAGTTCTATACAGAATTAAAGGGAAAATTACTTCCGAATAGTCAAAGGAGTTGATTTCTCAACCCTAATATTTAAAATAAAATCATAATTCGTAAAATAAATGAAAAGCCAAATTCATATTTGGCAATTAGAAAGTAAATGGCAAGTACTATATAGAATTAAAAGAAAAAAAACTTCCAAATAGCCAAAGGGTTGATTTCTCAATCCTCATATTTAAAAAAATCATAATTTGTAAAATAAATGAAAAGCCAAATTCATATTTGGCAATTAGAAAGTAAATGGCAAGTACTATATAGAATTAAAAGAAAAAAAACTTCCAAATAGCCAAAGGGTTGATTTCTCAATCCCCATATTTAAAAAAATCATAATTTGTAAAATAAATGAAAAGCCAAATTCATATTTGGCAATTAGAAAGTAAATGGCAAGTACTATATAGAATTAAAAGAAAAAAAAAACTTCCAAATAGTCAAAGAAGTTGATTTCTCAATCCTAATATTAAAAAAAAATTATAATTTGTAAAATAAATGAAAAGCCAAATTCATATTTGGCAATTAAATAGTAAATTGTAAGTTCTATACAGAATTAAAGGGAAAATTACTTCCGAATAGTCAAAGGAGTTGATTTCTCAACCCTAATATTTAAAATAAAATCATAATTCGTAAAATAAATGAAAAGCCAAATTCATATTTGGCAACTAAATAGTAAATTGCAAGTACTATATAGAATTAAAAGAAAAATTGCTTCTAAATAGCCAAAGGAGTTGATTTCTCAATCCTCATATTAAAAAAAATCATAATTCGTCAAATAAATGAAAAGCCAAATTCATTTTTGGCAATTAAATAGTAAATTGCAAGTACTATATAGAATTAAAAGAAAAATTGCTTCCAAATAGCCAAAGGGTTGATTTCTCAATCCTCATATTTAAAAAAATCATAATTTGTAAAATAAATGAAAAGCCAAATTCATATTTGGCAATTAGAAAGTAAATGGCAAGTACTATATAGAATTAAAAGAAAAAAAAAACTTCCAAATAGTCAAAGAAGTTGATTTCTCAATCCTAATATTAAAAAAAAAATTATAATTTGTAAAATAAATGAAAAGCCAAATTCATATTTGGCAATTAAATAGTAAATTGTAAGTTCTATACAGAATTAAAGGGAAAATTACTTCCGAATAGTCAAAGGAGTTGATTTCTCAACCCTAATATTTAAAATAAAATCATAATTCGTAAAATAAATGAAAAGCCAAATTCATATTTGGCAATTAAATAGTAAATTACAAGTACTATATAGAATAAAAGGAAAAATTGCTCCTGAACAGCCAAAGCGGTTGATTTTGGCTGCTGAAATTGATTTGTTTTTATATAAATCTCCTAAAATCATTTTTAACAAAGATACAGCTGTTTTTTGTTTAAAAATAATTATACTTTAAAATAAAACACATTCAAACTTCTAGCCAACGAAGTATTTTGTAATAAAGCATAATTTTTAAATTATTAAATAAAAAAAAAACAAAGCCATTTACAGGGGTGAAGATAACAGCCAATTTCAGCAGCCAAAAAATCATAATTCGTAAAATAAATGAAAAGCCAAATTCATATTTGGCAATTACAAACTAAATGTCAAGTACTATATACAGTTAAAATGAAAATTGCTTCCAAACAGTTAAAGGGGAATTTCTCAACATTAATATTTAAAAAAAAAATCATAATTCGTCAAATAAATGAAAAGCCAAATTCATTTTTGGCAATTAAATAGTAAATTGCAAGTACTATATAGAATTAAAAGAAAAATTGCTTCCAAATAGCCAAAGGAGTTGATTTCTCAATCCTCATATTTAAAAAAATCATAATTTGTAAAATAAATGAAAAGCCAAATTCATATTTGGCAATTAGAAAGTAAATGGCAAGTACTATATAGAATTAAAAGAAAAAAAAACTTCCAAATAGTCAAAGAAGTTGATTTCTCAATCCTAATATTAAAAAAAAATTATAATTTGTAAAATAAATGAAAAGCCAAATTCATATTTGGCAATTAAATAGTAAATTGTAAGTTCTATACAGAATTAAAGGGAAAATTACTTCCGAATAGTCAAAGGAGTTGATTTCTCAACCCTAATATTTAAAAAAAAATCATAATTCGTCAAATAAATGAAAAGCCAAATTCATATTTGGCAACTAAATAGTAAATTGCAAGTACTATATAGAATTAAAAGAAAAATTGCTTCCAAATAGCCAAAGGAGTTGATTTCTCAATCCTCATATTTAAAAAAATCATAATTCGTCAAATAAATGAAAAGCCAAATTCATATTTGGCAACTAAATAGTAAATTGCAAGTACTATATAGAATTAAAAGAAAAATTGCTTCTAAATAGTCAAAGGAGTTGATTTCTCAACCCTAATATTTAAAAAAAAATCATAATTCGTCAAATAAATGAAAAGCCAAATTCATATTTGGCAACTAAATAGTAAATTGCAAGTACTATATAGAATTAAAAGAAAAATTGCTTCCAAATAGCCAAAGGAGTTGATTTCTCAATCCTCATATTTAAAAAAATCATAATTTGTAAAATAAATGAGAAGCCAAATTCATATTTGGCAATTAGAAAGTAAATGGCAAGTACTATATAGAATTTAAAAAAAAAAAACTTCCAAATAGTCAAAGAAGTTGATTTCTTAATCCTAATATTAAAAAAAAAATTATAATTTGTAAAATAAATGAAAAGCCAAATTCATATTTGGCAATTAAATAGTAAATTGTAAGTTCTATACAGAATTAAAGGGAAAATTACTTCCGAATAGTCAAAGGAGTTGATTTCTCAACCCTAATATTTAAAATAAAATCATAATTCGTCAAATAAATGAAAAGCCAAATTCATATTTGGCAATTAGAAAGTAAATGGCAAGTACTATATAGAATTAAAAGAAAAAAAACTTCCAAATAGCCAAAGGGTTGATTTCTCAATCCCCATATTTAAAAAAATCATAATTTGTAAAATAAATGAAAAGCCA